CTGGGTGACCTTGGGCCAGTCCCTCTCTCTCAGCCCTAGGAAGGAAGCCACTTCTGAAATCCTGCCAAATATGTTCCCCAGTTGTGGGGCACAAATGAACCACCCACCCAAAAAATCTGTTCTTGAAAAAATGTTCTTGAAATGAAGTCCAGGTCCCTGGATCCAGCTGGGTTCCACACCCTCCAGTCCAAACAGTGGGCCCTGAGGATGCTGAAATCTTTGTTCTATGTCTTTCCCGACTGCTGTCTCGTAACTCGGGAATATGAGTCTAGCAGCCTAGTGATTGGTTTCTATATAAGCCAGAAATATGTCACCATAAGTTTTAATAAAGGAGGGTGTCTTAAATTTGTGCATAAAAGGAAAAACTCAAGGCAGGAAAATGTACAAAACACCTGAGCCTCTATCCTGATATTCAGGTCACTGGCTAAAGACCACAGTCAAGGGGCAAGTGGTAAGAGAGCTGCCTACAATTCCCTTGCAACCGGTTTCCTTACGTTTCTGCAATAGGTAAAATATGAAACTCTCAGTCTGCATGTTTCTGGTGTCAGAGATCTACTAATGTGTATCTACCAGGATATTAAGGGGGCGGGAATCTCTTCAATGCTAGATTATCACCAATTATCAAGCAAGGAGTGCTCTCCCTCTGTACGAAGCTGACCCCTTTGGAAAGGTTTCACCATTTTTTAAGGGGATTTTTTACTCTCTGAGTGAGCCACATCAGGGTAGTATTACTCACTCTCCTGCTAAAAAAACACTACCAATAATTAGTCTTCATTCTCCTTTGAAAATTAAGGGAGAGTTTGTTTGAATACTGTTCATTTAAACTGTTGGAGGAACTAGAAAAATTGCACCCAAAATATTCGATGAAGTTACTTCCTCTTAAAGTGGCCCTTTGTTACAAACATTCCTAGGAGCAATTCAGCAATTCATTCCTATGAATTCAGACAATTCTCAGCTCTCTTAGCAAACGTTTCTGACCTCTTGGCGAAATGGGTCTCCATCCTTTTATTTTCCTTGGTCCAGCCTCCAGACTCAAAGCCAAAGACTAAATTCTTGCTGATGGGTATCTACAGGGTATGGTCAAAAAAGTCAAGATGGCAGGCACAAGAGTGCAACCGAAGCTCCACTCAATTGGGCAGCACTTTGATTGCACCATTGTGGGCAGTGTCCTGACATTTTTGACCATACCCCGAAGACCCTCCTGCTCACTGATGTCTCTTTTACATCAATGCTATACATGATTTACAGTTGAAATAGACACTGCGACATCTGGACGAGAGGAACAAAAATAATCCCAGCTGGGATACTTACACCGAGCTGAAATCACTTGCAGATCCTGCAATATTGGATGGATACTGATTTATGAGACAACAGAAAGACATAAAAAAGGGAAAGTAATACTTTTCCAGTATCTATCATCATGAATAAACCCAACTGGAGAAAAAAAATTAATGCAACTTCACTGAAATAACAAAATGATATAAAGTCATTTGGGGGGAGAAAACTGAGTCAAATGGTTTTCTGCTTTTGACCCAGCAGAGTTTTACTAATGTGATTACTGTCTAGATTAGTTTGGCAAACTGCTTTCTTCAAAAAAGGAGGAGTCATTTGAACTCCATGCACCTGCCAAATTTGCTTTCAGATTGGCAGGGAGTGGGAACAATGGCAAATCTATTTTCACATATAGAAAAATATTTGGCATTTAGCCACCTGGGGTACAAGAAGAACAACAAATTTCTGCAATGATGTGTGCCATGGAAAATGAAAAAAAAAATTATTGTGAAATGTAAAAAAAAGAATATCTACATCGATCTGCTTCTAACATTAAGCTAGTGGCCTTACTATTTCTTTCAACTTCATAGTGTTTTTTTCTTTTTCTTTTTCTTTTCTTTTGTTTTTTGCTGATATAAAGGACAATCTGGTTTCCAGCTAAAGTCGCTCAACTAGGAAGCTATAGACGCTGCAGAGAGATTTGTGCCAGAAGATTTCATCACTCGGAATTTTGTCCAAATGCTCTTCTCCCTTTTAAGAACATTAAAAAGCAAATTCTCTTTCGTCCAACAAAATGAGAACAGATATAGTGGCTGCTGGTTTCCAATGATGCACTTTGCATTAAATTTCCCTAACTTGGAACTTGTCTATATTCATTCTATTGCATATGAATGAATTTGGTTCTGTGGTCCAGCCTGAACCCCCTAAAATATACAGTTCACACAAGACACTTAACCAGATCAGTTACATGTCATGCTAAATTTGGTTAGTTTTAACCTTGATTAGATTGCCCATGCCAGCATTGGTCTTAAGCCTGTGAGAAACCAGCCTGCTTGCTTATTTTATGATTCAGTATTGAGCAAACCCAGAAAAGAGATTAATCAATAATCAAATCAAACATATGGTGTGACCAAAATCTAGCTAATCTTTCCAAACAAATTTGTAAAATAGACCACAGATAATATTACACACGGAAACCATGCCTGGAAGCCTGTGGATCCGATGGCTTCCAATTTGTAAGATCTAATTCTTCTAGTTCATCTTCCCAAGTGATGCATCGTATTGATCCCAACCCCAGCCATTTGTCAAACTAAAGAAATCTTCCAAATTCTGGCACCCTTAGATCTGTGCAAGAGGAATTCTCTAGTCCCACCACATCTGAAACAGATTGGGGAAGACTTAAGTAAGGGTGATCTAGAATGAGGAATATGGAAAAGCAATTCATATAGCAGCCTTCTGCTCATTTAGCTTCACCTCTCCATATTCCCACCCCTGAACAAGAACAGGAAAAGAAATTAAGAACTAAATGTAAGCAGGAAATCTATGCCACCCCCTTCCCAGTTCCTCATCATCGTTTGCATTTCCGTGCTGTGCAAGAGACATAGGGCTCACCTAGCATTCCTTTGTTGGAGTTTGATAAGCACATATCCTTTTCCGCACTGGGCAAGACAAAACCAACCACAAATACCTCCACCCCATCTGCCATCAGGGCCAATCCCAGCACAATGAAAAGCATCCATTGGAAACGTCCATGGCTGCATTCCACAATGATGTTCTCATACTGGTGAGCCAGCTGCTCTTCATCTTCCATCTTTTCCGCCATAAGCTCATCATGATCTCTGAACTCATTGGAGAGACCTGCCGTCTTCTGCTTAGACTTGACATCTGGGTGAGGAATGCCCTGGTACTCTCCTTCATAGACTTCATCATCTTCATCATGGCCTTCAGTAGCATCACTCTGAGCATCTTCTTCCTGACTGGGTTCCTCTCCAGTCTGATAAGTTGGGTCGTTGGGAACATAACCTTTGTAGCCACCATCCTGATAGCGGTAGTCATCAAAACCATGGCTCACCTGGTTTCTACGGCCATCATCCATTTTGAGCAAATATATCTAGATGGACAGTTATATTTATCAATGTTTGTATTCTGTTTGTGTAGGTAGAAATATTTTAATCTGTTCAGTTAACTATATGGGCATCCTTCCTTTGGAGATGCACTTTATATATGATCAAAAGACCACAATTTAGAGGAAACTTTGCAGGTTGTGGCTTTTAATTAAGGAATTGTATCCTTCCTGAAGCGTGCCATGATACTTTCATCTCTAGCACGGCCTTTACATGCTTTCTGAATCCTTCAGCTGGCAAAGGATGCTGGGGGAGGAAATCCAAGGGGCCAGCAGCTTTTCTCACCAGGACCTAGTGAGTCTTGGCAGATTGATAGCTTTTGTGATCCATCTTCCTGCTGAAGGTCACGTCCTAGAGAAGAAAAGGGAAAAGTGGAAAAATACGCAATGAAATGCTTTGGAAGACAGAGAAAGGTCATGCCATGGAGTATTTTCTGGCATATTTCTTTCACAACAGAGAAAAAAACCCTTGGCAGAAACATCAAAGGAATTTAAAGAAAAGACTTTCAACTGGGCTGGGAAAAAGAAAATGAGGACAGCTAAAACATGTTTAAAGCCATCTCTACAATGTATTTATTAATGTTACATCCCATCTTTTGTTCAGGAGCTCAGTGTGGCTTACCTAGCCCTCCATCCTCTTCCTCAGGGAGCTTCTATGATTAAGGATGGGCTAGAATCTGAGTCTCTTTGCTCCTAGTCCAGCACCTTCACAACTACATCACACTCATGTTCAAGAAAACAAAAAGAAATGATCAAGGCCAGCCCACAGATTTCTTACAGGTTTCTCCCACAAGTGGAATTGTTTCAGTTTAGTACATAACAGCTGTGCTCCGAACACTGGGAAGAAGTCCAAGTTTTACCACAAACTCGCATTTCTTAAAGTAGGCTTTTAAAAGGCTGTGATCAGAATGAGCAACCTGCACCCATCAAATTCCCCCTTTGTAGATGTGTGAGGCCCTCTCCAAAATTCCTTAGTACAATCCCAAAACACAAGAATTGCATCTCACTATTTTGAGATGGTATAACTCCTAAAACAGAGTCTACTCATTTCAAAAATTAACCTTGAAATTCTGTCTACTTACTCCCAAGATGGGGAAAGAAATAAAAATCCAAGCTCCATCCATGTGCCCCTCCCACACTAATTCCCAGCTCCACCCACACTCATTTTGATGCATGCACATTCATCCACATGTACACATTCATCCTCATGTACTCTAAAAATGGCATGCATGGCTCTTGGACTCCAAACAGTTGCTCTGCTATATATGAAAAATCCCATCCTCAAATTGTGAGCATAACGTAATTCTTGCTTCTTCCATGCCAGCACAACCAGATTATAATTGATGATCTTAGAATCTTACACATAAACTCTGATAAAATCCAGAAATCTGGTATGATTCTGGCTAATGAAAAGATCCGCCATCTACAGCACGGATTTAGAGGACAGTGACTTGGGTTTGACACTGAGTGCACATAGCACACTAAGCCAAAATGTAGTTGGTTGGCTATCAGTTCTGTGTGTTGGGTGAAGTGGGCAATTGAGTTAATTCAAGAGATCATGGGGAATTAACAATAGGTTAGCATAAAAGGCAAACACAGACATAGTGCTGGAGTTGACATTTCAGCTGTCACCCTCTATCACCCTGGGCTGATACATTCCAGGAGGTTCTTATACCATCTGAATATTACCTTGGGACCCTTGAAAGCATCTTGCGTGGGAGGGAAGAGATCCCAGAAAGCTAAAAAGTAGGACTGCTGGCTCCTGGCAGGTGAGAGGCACGCCCATTTTGCCCGTTTCAGTTATCTTTGGGGAGATGGCTGCCAACTCAGATCTTCAGGGTGGAGAAAAGGAAGAACTGAGTGGTATAGTATCTTCCCAGGAACTTGGCTTTCTGCTTCTGCCTTTCAATGGAGCAACATTTAAATTTGCATGCTATCCTGATTTTAAGGTCTATTGCAAGTCTCACAATGTAGGAAGCACCTCTGAAATATTAGACCCGCATAGGCTTTGCAAAGGGACAGAAAAGGGGGCAGCAGTTGGGGTTTTCCAGAAGTTGAGCTTTGCCAAGTATCCAGTGATGCCAATCTCTGGCACTGCCATGAGCAATCCATACAGTACGATAGAATCAGTTTTCTTAGAGGGCTTCGTTTTACTTGCTCTTTTTGCATTCTAGGCACCTTGCACACAATTACCATTCCTTCTTCATTCCCAGGATCCCAGAGGCCTGAAAATCATGAATTTCAATCAGGATGGTGAACAAAGCTTGGAAGTGAATTACACAGAAAACTGATGAACAGCTTGTGGCTCCTACAGAGCTTTGGAAAGGCAGAGGGCACAAAAAATTTATAGCTCTGACTTTTGAATTTTCATCTCGAGGAAAGGGAGCATTAGCTAATGAGCCGTGATTCTCTTTTTTGATTCTACTTGAAAGAATAGTCATCTTCTGGTTACTGTTACAGTGCTTAAGGCCATCCTTTCCATTTCAATGAAATGGAAAAAAAAAAAAAGACATAAATGGTATGTTTTGACTCAGCATTTACAATGTTTTCTGTTTTCCGCTCAAATCCGTTATGAGTCTTGCAGAAAACTGTGTGAGCTGCAGTTCTTCATTTATGCATCTGTGAAGGCAGCAATAGCCCATGAAAACTGGTGCCTTTTAATAAAATTTGTTAATCAGAAAAGTTGCTACCAGACTCCTCCTGATTTTTTTGCCTTTCCTGTCCTTAGCACTGACTCCTGTCCTGGACTTCTGCATAGTTCTGTGGGTGCATTTGATTGCTAAAAATCTAGCCATTCCAAGCACTATAATGCATTTAAAGAGATAAAGCTTTGTTGAAAGCAATCAGTTGCAAGTTGACATTTACTCTGGCCTTTAAGAAATCAAATGTGTACTTTAAACAGATGGTTTGGTGGTGGTACTGGTGATAGTGGTTTTGAAAGTGAGGCAATAAGATGTTTCAAAGCACATGTTGTTTCTTGGTAACAAAAACTACCAAAAAAGCAGATTGTGTAATCTGAAAGCTGGATCTGATTGTTTTTTCTCAGATTCACACCCCCATTGCAAAAGAGAGAAGGAGAGCAGTTTTTCTGCTAGCATTTCTGCTTCTCTCTCCAGAAAGATATTCCAGAGTAATAATCCTCAGAGCGAGGTACAATCCCTGCTCTAAGTAAAAATCTTTACTCAGAATCTCAACTATGTAGCACAAGAAATCTAATATTAATAGAATTATATTTTGGAAACAATGTATGGCAAAAACTCTGAAAGACACATCTGTGTTCATGATGCCCGAGTTGGCTGTGAAGGATCAAGAACAAGACTTCATGGACATCAATGAAAAAGATAATTCCAGGTTTCATGTCATTGCAATGGAGTTGAACATTTCATGTTAACTAGACTATGGCGCAATTATACATTGAACAGTTCCAGCCAGTGTAACTTTGAAAAGCATATGGGGAACAGGAAACTAGAACAATGACAGAACCAGAGCTGTAGATCTGCTATAGATGAAAGATGGCAGAGTTTGAGAATTTTCAGCTCAGAAAAAAGGGGAGGAAGAGAAGTCAGAACGAAGAGTTTCTCTGTGCATTAGGAGGCTAGGAGACGCCACTCCACCTTTTTCCAGCTTGTGAAACAGATGTTGTCAGGAGCAGGACTTTGGGCCAACGGATGGGGCTTCCCTTCCTTGAAGCCCTGCCTCTTGAGGCATCTGATCTGTCAGATGGCGAGCAGCCAAACCCAGCCCCCAGACGAGATGCAATCCCAGCTCCTGGTTTTGACTCCATCCTGTAATATTCCTCCATTCCACGTAAGGCTCCATCTCATTTGGATCAATATCCATTTCTCCTCAGTGTTGAAGTGACATTATTTATTTTCAGTATTGACATCCTGACCCAGTCCTAACAGATTCCAACATAAAACATTCTGTACCGAAGGAAAACATACATAGAATAAAAACACGTGGACAAGATGCCTAAAAAAACAACTAAGGGCTGAAATCACATTCCTACAGAATGGTGTTAACTTGTTTACAAAAATAAACAGGGCTGGGGCCATCCAGCCAACTCCAAGTGGAGGCCATTGCCTGGTCTAGACTCCACAAATCTCATAAAGGGGCTATGAATATCTTCCCTGCCTGTCTCTGCCCATAGCCTGAGTTTCTTCCTTTTCTGATTGGACACGAGGGCATATGCATGTGCGTGTATGCACATGCACACGCACACACACTGTAAAGGATTCTTTATGACTGAATTTTCCACTTTCCATTTTCTATTCCGGAACTTTTCTTTATTTGCAATGTGCCGATATATCATTTCTTCTTGGAAAGAATTCTCTTTCCATGGTATCAGCTTGACTGATAGGTTCTGGCAACAATGAGCTTGTAATCTTTCAACCAAATTATAAAGAGCCTCCTTGAATCCTCTGCAGATCAATTCACAATCAGGGTTAATATGGAGGGCATCTTCCAGAGTTGTTCACTCAAACCTAGGTGCAGGGAATATAGATTTAACGTTTGCAAGCTAATGCACTAATATTGGCCACAAGCTTTTCCCATTATTTCCATCAGATTCCAGAGTGATTTTTTTAAAAAGAAATCAACGCCTCATATTCTAAGAGGGCTTGAAAAGAAAAGAAAAAGAAGCAAAGAAATAAAACGATAGACGTGGTATTGCAAGCTGCAGGAAATCCCAGTGGGGCTTATTAAGTGAGCTACCGGTGGCACAGATCCTGTATTAGTAGGTAGAAGGCATCTGAAAGTCACTGTAACGACATAATGCAGATGCTGCCAAGCTGGTTTCAGCACCAAGGCTAGCGCCTATTCAAATTGACCAGAACCCTTAGAATCACACCAAGTCCAAATGACTGTTGTTGTTGTTCAGTCGTTAAGTCATGTCCGACTCTTCGTGACCCCATGAACCCTATCG